TTGTCATGGATTACATCTTTAGTACACATACAGCGTTTGAGGGGGACCTTGTCATGGATTACATCTTTACTACACATACAGCGTTTGAGGGGGACCTTGCTATGGATTACATCTTTAGTACACACACAGCGTTTGAGGGGGACCTTGTCAATGACTACATCTTTAGTACACACACAGTGTTTGAGGGGACCTTGTCATGGATTACATCTTTAGTACACACACAGTGTTTGAGGGGACCTTGTCATGGATTACATCTTTAGTACACACACAGCGTATCAGGGGGACCTTGTCATGGATTACATCTTTAGTACACACACAGCGTATCAGGGGGACCTTGTCATGGATTACATCTTTAGTACACACACAGCGTATCAGGGGGACCTTGTCATGGATTACATCTTTACTACACACACAGCGTTTGAGGGGGACCTTGTTATTGATCACATCTTTAATACAAACACAGCGTTTGAGGGGGACCTTGTTATTGATCACATCTTTAATACAAACACAGCGTTTGAGGGGGACCTTGTCATGGATTACATCTTTACTACAAACACAGCGTTTGAGGGGGACCTTGTTATTGATCACATCTTTAATACAAACACAGCGTTTGAGGGGGACCTTGTTATTGATCACATCTTTGATACAAACAGCGTTTGAGGGGGACCTTGTCGTGGATCACATCTTTAATACACACACACAGAGCGTTTCTGGGGTACCTTGCTATTGATCACATCTTTACTACACATACAACGTTTTAGGGGGACCTAGTCAGAGATCACATCGACTGACTGATTCCTGCCTTTAATGTCCTCTACGGGCCGCGCCAGGTATCCGTCACTCAGATAATGAAGGCACTCGCCACCCCGAGAACCGCGCACCTGCTGGGCCGCTCCTATTTACTGGCTGTTCAGCCGCAGTCTATTTAAAGCTTTCAGAGTTCAAAGTTCGAAGTTCATCAGTATGTCAACCATGTACACGATGCAGGTTTTTTGTAGGCTTGTTAAAATATTGTTATTATATCTATTAATTTGTATCAGTGACTAATATCAGCAACCCTGACGAAATAGGATGAAGGATGGCTTCGATAGGGAATGAAATGCATTCTTGCATTACCTTAATGAATATGCGTATTTAATGCGTAATATACCTGTAATCGACCAGCATTGGTATGACCGCTCTGGAGAAGAATATGATATGAGTATATTGATGATGGGATCTTGGTGTTGTTTGATGTTTGATGTTTTCCGACTTCAGCTAGCGTAAAGTAAACACATTAAACGTAGATATAACGCCATGGTAACTTTCACCAAGAGGCGGTGATCAGTGGAGGCGGTGATCAGTGGAGGCAGTAAGATGTCTGATGTCTTTCTCCAACATACAGCGAGATGTACGCATGTATCTGCTGGTGTGTTTGGGGCAGTGAAGCGTGTGTATCTACTAGTATTATTCACCCGTGAAGAGACTAAGGATTAAGGGACAAAGTTTACTGAAACAAGATTTACAAATACATCCATTATATAATGTAGTCGTGACATAGAAATATTTACAAGTCACAAGGAAATAAAATCAGTTTACTCAGATTCTTAAAACCGTTGGCTACACACACAACAAGATATAATTCCGTTTTGTTGACGCTGTTTTAAGACAGTAAGTACGAGGACTAAAGACTCGTCCCCCATCGACACTTGTCGCTTTGAACAAACTCCCCTCTTCTCCCGCCCTCAACAACATATACTCAGTTTGGGAGCCAATCTGATGCAAATGTGTTAAACATGCACCAGACCATGTCACACCAGACCATGTCACACCAGACCATGTCACACCACACCACACCATGCATGTCCTTGTGCACGTATCTCAGATAGAACATGCCCATGTGGACAGGGTTATCCAGGGTTAAACCTGCACATTGTTACATGATAGTGTTTTTAACGGTGCTACATTGTTTCTGTTGAGATTCGGTAGACACTCATTGCATTGTGTTTGACAGTGGTAAGTCGTCAGGAATGTAGCACTGTAAGCTGGAAGTTACTATTTTTAGATGCTTGTGTTTTGTGTAAACTTCCGGTCCGGTATTCCACGGACGGTGATAGTATGTTATAGAAACGTGGAATGTTCCAGTGTCGCTAGATTGGTGAGGACACTGTGTAAAAATTAGTTATTTAGGCTGTATATATAGTGTATATACAAGAGCGTGTTTACGCATCTCTCACGCATCTCATCACGTCAAGACCAACTTTCATGTGAAGATCGCTTATCATCTCTGGTTCCCTGCCTAGTCCATCTCGGAAGCCCGACCGCTGCCGCCGCTGGGTGAATATATACACAAGCACAAAAGTTAAGCGCAACCCACCATATTTGTGAGCTGTTACTTTTGGCACTTAATGATGACTATTATAACGAGATGTACGATTGTTATAAGCCCGTAAATGTAAACCTCATGTGATGCAAAAGTTGTCCCAAAGCAAGTTGTGTTCCAAAAGAATATGAGCAGAAAGGAATTTTACCGAAGACCAGAAATTGACGGATTAGAAAACATTGAAAAACCGTCATGATATCAGCAGACCATATCAGGTGTCACATAGACACTCTAGGGAGTGCAGAGTATATTGCAAGACAGAAACGTCAGTAACGTGTGTATGATCCACGGACATTGACCACAGCTTCAACCCTACGCCTCATACTTATTACAAGTCGTTGAATGCTTCTCTGAGGCAAACGGATCCATTCTTCATGAAGTGCGGCTTCAAGTCCAGCGAGATTTTGAACTGGGGGATCGCGATGTCTGATTTTCCGGCCAAGAATGTCCCAGAGATGCTCAATCGGATTAAGATCCGGACTACAGGCCGGCCAAGGAAGAGTGGCAATAGCTTCTTGACGCAAATAAGCCAAAACTGCCCGAGATCTGTGTGGCATTGTCGTCCATGTAAACAGGTCTTGTCTGAAGAGGATGGTTGTCAAAATGAGTGACTACCACTGGACGAAGTACGGCATCTTGGTATTGTTGGCCATTCAGGTTTCCTCGAATTGTCACCAGCGGAAGTTTGCAGCCGAAGGAAACACAACCCCATATCATGACAGACCCCCGCCACATGCTAAGGTCTTCTGGATGTTCCTTGGTGCAAAACGAGTGTTACGTTGCCTCCAAACACGTATTCGACCATCAAAAGTTCGTAGCAGCATTCGACACTCGTCAGACCAATGGATCCTTCTCCAGTTGGCCAAGTTCCATCGACTACGGGCACGAAACCATATCAGACGATTCCTCATGTGCCTCTCAGTCAGTTGAGGACGTTTTACTGGTCTTCTGGCGTTAACAGCCACTCTGAGGCGACGCCTTACGGTCAACGTCGAGAGTCTCTGATGGGTAATCCACTGCATTCTTAAATCTGTTGAAGTGGCAAATGGATTTCGTCTGACTATCCTGAAAAGACGTCTATCCTCTGTTAGAGGTCTTTCTTGGCCTACCAGACCTATGCCTGACATTGACATAATTGGTTTGACCATGTTTGACTATCAATCGAGTGATAACACTGTGATGACGACCCATTTGTCTTGCAATGGCCCTGCATGACATGCCAGCATTTTTCATGCCTATCACTTGCCATCTTTCAGCGTTCGTTAACTTTCTCCTCACCATGGCTGATTTTCAACCTCTATTGGAAGGGGAATCTCACACAGGAGCAAAATGCAACCACGAAACCACGAAACTTGAATTTCACTATTTATAGGGTAGGGGAACTGCAGCAACACGTAGAGCACGCTTTCCTTGTGGTATCTGGACAAATTTTGGTTCATGAAACTATGGAAGCCTAATTTAGTCATACATCATCATATTTCGTATTTCTGATTCCCACACGTGAAGTCAAGAGACTATGAATATGGTGGCGCTTAACTTTTGTGCATGTGTACATGTAAGTTTCACCGCTTTTTGCTGACCGCTGACATCTTATTACGTATTGTCATTGAATATTGTACTACCACTCTATTGTGTGCTGCCATTTTAATTGCTGTGCAGTAAATTGTGTTGATTTGCAAACCTAGTGAATTTTTGTAATAAAATTGTTAATTGTATACCATTTGTTTGTTGTTTGTTCATTTCACACTTAGTTCTTTTACGTACATATTTCTGGATTAACATATTGTTTCAATTTGGAATCGACACATAACACGACGTAGTCCCCGGCGACGTGGTTCAGCACCGAGGTCAGCTTCACTGACTCACGGTCAATATTACCCTGGATGTTGACCCAAACTCGGGGATCAGAGGTCAGCTTCACTGACTCACGGTCAACATTACTCCGGATGTTGACCCAAATTTGGGGATCAGAGGTCAGCTTCACTGACTCACGGTCAACATTACCCCGGATGTTGACCCAAATTTGGGGATCAGAGGTCAGCTTCACTGACTCACGGTCAACATTACCCCGGATGTAGACCCAAACTCGGGGATCAGAGGTCAGCTTCACTGACTCACGGTCAACATTACCCCGGATGATGACCCAAATTCGGGGATCAGAGGTCAGCTTCACCGACTCACGGTCAACATTACCCCGGATGTTGACCCAAATTTGGGGATCAGAGGTCAGCTTCACTGACTCACGGTCAACATTACCCCGGATGTTGACCCAAATTCGGGGATCAGAGGTCAGCTTCACTGACTCACGGTCAACATTTCCCCGGATGTTGACCCCAACTGGGGCATCAGAGGTCAGCTTCACTGACTCACGGTCAACATGACCCCGGATGTTGACCCAAACTGGGGGATCAGAGGTCAGCTTCACTGACTTACGGTCAACATGACCCCGAATGTTGACCCCATCTGGGGGATCCCCCATGTGAGCTGGATCAATGATGAATGACAACAGTAGGGTGGACTCAGGTTTGAATAAATCTTACAAATCTGACGCAGTATCTCAAATGTCCTGCACTAAAGTAGCTGTATCATGACAACCTAGATGTCAGCTGTCCAAACAAAAATAACAAAATGGGTAATATGTCGGACGTACATCTGTAGTGGCAGTACAGACGAATGAGGTTGTTTAGAATGTCTGGTTAGTGACACTTTTGCTGGCAGTCGATGGAGTTGTCACCATCGGAGCAGAAGTGCACATCACACGAGACGTCCACGTCCGCGTTGTCGCCAAGAAACTCGACTGTCTTGAAGGAAAAGCGGAACTCGTGTCTGGTGGAGTCCAATATGGCGGCGTGTGGGTCCTTGACACACCTGAAACACGTAACAGCGGCCATTAGGCCGTTAACAACATGAGGAACAGTCGCAATCGCCTTTTACCTGTCAGATTATTGTAGGGCGCAAGGGTGGCCCAGTCGTCTAAGGCGCCGCATTTCGCTGTGCAGTGTTGCGTCCCTTGGGCACGCCAGAAACTTATGATCGAATCCCGGTTCGCCCCGATTATGTTTCTAGGTTTGCACCAGCACCTTACCCGAAGTGGTAAACGTCTGACACCTGCATCACTTCGTGATTTCCTCCCACATTAGGCTGACACGCCGCGATATAACTGTATTACTGTTAAAAGAGGCGTTAGACCCAACTCACTTACTCACTCAGGTTATTATATTTCAGAATCTGAAAGAATATATTTGTTGCAAATTCAAATGAATACACATCTACAAATGTTGTATTCATATAGTCTAGAAGCTCCTTATAGTCATCTTGCTAGACAGTGATTTACATGGAACATACATGGAACATACATGGTACATACATGGAACATACATGGCACATACATGGTACATACATGGCACATACATGGCACTACATGTAACATACACGGTACACGCATGATGCATACATGGTACATACATGGAACATACACGGTACATACACGGTACATACACGATCCATACATGGTACATACATGATACATGCACGGTACATGCATGATACGTGCACGGTACATGCATAATACATACATGATACATACATGGAACATACACGGTACATAGATGGAACATACATGGTACATACATGATACATGTACGGTACATGCATGATACGTGGACGGTACATCCATAATACATACATGATACATACATGGAACTTTAACGGTACATAGATTGAACATACACGGTACATACACGGTACATACACGGTACATACATTGAACATACATGGAACATACACGGTACATACACGGTACACACACGGTAATGCACGGTACATACATGGAACATACACGGAACATACACGGTACATACACGGTACACACACGGTAATGCACGGTACATACACGGTACATACACGGTATATACGCGATACATACACACACGGTACATACATGGTTTATACCTAGTACATACGTGGCAACATACACGGTACATACACAGTACATACACAGTACATACACGGTACATTCACGATACATATATACACGGTACATACCTGTCCTCAATGAGAGGATATTTAACAGTGCTGTTATCAGCTGCTATAGCGTAGCAGTCTTTCACGACCATGACATTCGCTTCATGAGCAGGGGAGGTAACTTTCACAAATATCTCGGCCCCAAGTTTCGTGCTGAGTGGCTTCCCTTTGATCTCATATTGAAAGTTACTGTCGTTGTAAAATGCCATTTTGGCTTCGTGGCCGTGCACGTCATTGTTTCCATGGGCGTGGATGTTGATGGCAACGTGTGGATTGTATTCGAGATTGTCTACCTCATCCCTTTTCATGTTACACTCCAAGTCGTACTGCCAAATGATGCTTTCGATCACGTTACTGTTTGACGTCATTTCCGGATAAAAAAGGAAGTTTTTGTAGATGATTTTGTTCGCCGTTTCCTGAAACCAAGTTTACAGTATTATATATTTTCGCATCGTAGAAAGGTCTTCTGTTCCATTCGCTGCAAGTGTAGAACATATTGTATAGCACAGCTTGTTCAACACGTTCTGTAAGACTGATGCAAGGATGAGGTATGAGCGACCCCGACGGGGATGTAACTACATGGTGCAGTCCTCAGAAATACAGAAGAAACCCAGGTCTTAGACATGAACTACTTTGGTTGAACCCACGAGAACTGGCCCACCCGTGACACCTGGCCCACCCGTGACACCTGGCCCACCCGTGACACCTGGCCCACCCGTGACACCTCCCTTTTCAGACGTGATGCAGTCAATCTTGGCGGTCCCTCCAATCTTCACGTCCGAGTTGCAGTCAAGCCTGACGGTCCCTCCAATCTTCACGTCCGTGTTGCAGTCAAGCCTGATATCCCCGCCTACCTTCACACCCGTGTTGCAGTCAAGCCTGATATCTCCGCCTACCATCACGTCCGTGTTGCAGTCAAGACTGATATCCCCGCTTACCTTCACACCCGTGTTGCAGTCAAGCCTGATATCCCCGCCTACCTTCACACCCGTGTTGCAGTCAAGCCTGATATCCCCGCCTACCTTCACACCCGTGTTGCAGTCAAGCCTGATATCCCCACCTACCTTCACATCCGTGTTGCAGTCCAGCCTGATATGTCCGCCTACCTTCACGTCCCTGTTGCAGTCAAGCCTGATATCCCCGCCTACCTTCACGTCCGTTTTGCAGTCAAGCCTGATATCCCCGTCTACCTTCACGTCCGTGTTGCAGTCAAGCCTGATATCCCTACCTACCTTCACGTCTATTTTGCAGTCAAGCCTGATATCCCCGTCTTCCTTCACGTCCATGTTGCAGTCAAGCCTGATATCCCCGCCTACCTTCACGTCCGTGTTGCAGTCAAGACTGATATCCCCGCCTACCTTCACGTCCGTGTTGCAGTCAAGACTGATATCCCCGCCTACCTTCACGTCCGTGTTGCAGTCCTTGTAGGTGTAATTGAATGTGAGTAGGGAGTGTTCAGAGTTGTAGTCTCCGCGGCACATGTTATTGGACATGAAGACCATGTTCGGGTCGATGTCGGGCACCAGAGCCTTCATCTTGTCCAGGTCAACGTCAATCATCCAGCCGCCCGGTCTACAGGTGAAGGTCACGGCTTGATTCAGGAGCTCTACAAGGCAACCGGATGTTATGTACACATCAATATTGCAGATGATTGACAACCTTCCCACGCCACAGATGTGGAACTGTTTACCGATGTTCATATTAAAGTAAAGCATACACAGCCAAATTGTAACAGCTTTCAGTTGGGGATGCGGGGTCAGATTTGTGGGAACGTCTTAGTTATTCAGTTGGTCATATGGGAGAACGCCTTAGGTATTCGGACGGAGACAGGGCGGTCGGGTAGTCTTGTGGTCAAAGCGTTCGCTCTTCACGCCGAGGACCCGGATTCGATTCCCGACGTGGGTACAATGTGTGAAGCCCATTTCTGGTGTCCCCCGCCGTGATATTGCTGGAATATTGCTAAAAGCGGCGAAAAGCCATACTCACTCACTCACTGAGGGAGACACGGGGGAAGGTTTGGGGTATTTAGAGGAGACATGTTAGAACGCCTTCAGAGAGGGTTATGGGCGAACGCTTTATGTATTCTGATGGGCGATGTTTGAGAACGTGTTAAATATTGAGAGGGGAAATTGTCACGAACAATTGTTTTTGTGATAGTTGCATTTATAACAGCGTTCAGTTGGTGATGCGGGGCAACACTCGATCAATACATTGTGATCTTACCACCAGCACTTAAACTGTTTGTTGGTGATGTTTTCAATGCCGTCACAGTTGTAGTTGCCGTCGTTGTTGAAGGAGTTGGTGGTGTAGGGATCGGAGTAGATAGTGTGGATGCCATTGGCTGCGGTGTTATTAAGGCGGTTGTGGTCTCTGTGGCTGGGATCAGATATGTGAGAATTCCTTAAGTATTCAGTTGGTCATGTTGGAGAACGCGTTAAGTATTCAGTGGGGGATATTCGAGAACGTGTTAAGTATTTAGAAGGGGATATTGTAGAACGCCTTAAGTATTCAGTGGGGGATATTGAAGAACGTGTTAAGTATTTAGAAGGGGATATTGGAGAACGTCTTTAGTATTCAGAAGTTGATATTGGAGAACGCCTTAAGTATTTAGAAGGGGATATTGGAGAACGCCTTAAGTATTTAGAAGGGGATATTGGAGAACGTCTTAAGTATTCAGAAGGGGATATTGGAGAACGTCTTGTGTAATCAGAGGGGGATATTGGAGAACGTGTTAAGTATTGAGAAGGGGATATTGGAGAACGTCTTAAGTATTCAGAAGGGGATATTGGAGAACGTCTTAAGTATTCAGAAGGGGATATTGGAGAACGTCTTAAGTATTCAGGGGGATATGGAGGACGTCTAAAGTATTCAGGAAGGACATTGGAGATAATTATAAATACTTACTTTTCAATGCAAATTGTGTGAATGGCGGTGCCACCGGTAGGGCGGAGCATGTTTACTCTTTGTGTGGACGCCTGGCATTAGCACTGATTTACAGGAGAGCATTCATAAAACTTTCACTGCTAGTTTGTGCTCTACGCCAACGGAATATATACTCACACGCAAAAGAAACGCAAGTCGACTATGCAGTATACATGTTATTTATTTTCAACAGTAAAGACAGAAAATACTAATAGGGCAAGATTGACAAGAATTTGACTGAAGACAGTTTAATGGATCAAAAAACAGATGACATAATTATTTTTTTCTTCAAATGTTAAGGGCTTACACAGTTTCGGGTCAATACCCAAAATGTCAGTCAATACCTGGTGTGACCAGCATAACCATTGATCACTGCCACACATCTCCTGTACATTGAGTGGATCAGACGATTTGTGAAGGCCCTGGGGATCCTCCTGCACACATCCAGAGCAGCTGTGCGTAGTTCATCGGCAGTTGTAGGGACTGGGCGCACATTGTGCAGACGCCTTTGAACCTCATCCCACAAGTGTTTGCTGGGGCACAGATCAGGGCTGGGGGCTGGCCACGGTAGAACACGGATGTTGTGTTGTTGCAGAAAGGCCATGGTAGCTCTGGCAACATGGGGACGAGGGTTGTCCTGCTGGAAAATGTGTTGTTGATGTTGTGCACAAAATGAAACAACGTGGGGTCCGATCACTTGGTCGGTATACCGCTGACCAGTGACGCCGTGTCCTCGATCTTGACCAACATTCAGAAAGCACATGGGTCCAAGTCTCGCATTAAGTCCAATCCCTGCCTATGTCATGACGCTAGGTCCACCCCATGGATCCCTTTTCACAACGTATCTGTCAGCGAAACGATCACTTCGACGCCGCCAAATTCTGACTCTTCCGTCTGCATGGGAGACACGAAAGCGACTTTCATCAGAGAAGATGACACGCCTCCACTCACGATGACGCCAATTGCGATGACCCTGTGCCCACTGACACTGAAGTCGTGCTTGTCGATGCCGTGGTTGGAGAACAGGACGACGTGCTGTTCGATTTCGCGAGAAATGGGTGCATGAAACCCACATATTCATTGAAATGGTGCGTTTTGGCGATTCGTTTTTTATGTTGCGTTTTTACTCGGGGCTTCCAAAATGCAACCAAAAATATTGATAACACCATCAGGCTTCACTACAGGCTAAAACTCGTATCAGTTTATGGCTCCGTGTTTGTACCTATTTGCTTATTAAATGGTTAATCTCTTGTCTGGACAGGTTATATTAACGTATTCAGATGGGGAGCGTGGGAGAACGTCACGTATTCTTAAAGGGGATATGGGGGAACGCCTTAAGTATTAAGAAGGGGAATTGTTACAAATATATTTGACATTGTTAAATTTACAACAGCTTTCATATGGGGAGATGCGGGGCAACACTCGATCAATACATTGTGATCTTACCACCAGCACTTAAACTGTTTGTTGGTGATGTTTTCAGTGCTGTCACAGTTGTAGTTGCTGTCGTTGTTGAAGGAGTTGGTGGTGTAGGGATCGGAGTAGATAGTGTGGATGCCATTGGCTGCGGTGTAATAAAGGCGGTTGTGGTCTCTGTGGCTGGGATCAGATATGTGAGAATATATATATATATATTGCAGATCTTACCCTTACACCGCCGTGATATTGTCGAAATGCTGCTAAAAGAGGCGTAAAACTCAATATAACCCTTATCACTCACTATAACCCTTATCCAGGGACCAACATATCAACAATCTTGTTGCAAATATTAAGTGTTAATAGTCTCACCAGTGGTGGTCGGGTGGATAGGCGTATCCCAGATGTACCCGGCGTTGTACCCGTACGACTCCCCGAAGGGAGTTCCGTACCCGTACACGTGCAATGAGAAGGAGCAGTTGTCTCCCCTGCTGCGGGCGAGGATCGTCCCCGGGGAAACGGACACCGACCCCACCGTGAAACCCGAGGTACCCAGGTCTGTCCAGCTGACAGTGTAAGGCTTACTTCCCTCCACGACGATGTCGTTCTTACACACTTGTCGAGTAACCACGTTCACAAAGCTGTTGTAGTTGGCGCCATTCCTGTCGACTGTCGTAGCGATGAAGTTGTTCTTGAAGGCATCAGTTCCAGGGATCGCCATCTCAAAGGATTTAAAGTAGTGCTCCATGAACTGCATCACTTGGATTGGGTTGCTGCTGTTGATGATGACGTTGTCGTCTTTGCCAAATTTCATGTCCACATATTCTCCAGCGTCTAAGTCCACGCTGGACTGCCTCGCTTGTCCGGGGACAGTAAACATGACCCTAGTTCCATCAGAGTCGGCCGTCACACGGAGCTCGTGCCCCACGGCCTTGCCCTTGAGACTGGGAACGACGAAGTGTTGACTCCACAACTTGGTGGGGGGCACTTGAGCCATAGCATGGCCGCCGTCATAGAGGAGTTTCAACATTGTGGCCCCTGAGTACAGGGCTATAGGGGCAGAGCTTGTGACCCGGGTTCCACCTAGGTCGCACGTGCGGGAGTTGTCCCCGTCCAAGCCAGCTTCTGACAGAGACAGAACGTCCAGCGACTCGAGGTCTGTTGATATCGTGTCCCCCGATGTGAACGTTGTGCCGTTCAGGCTGTAGTTGCAGGTGCTGTTTAGGGCTACAGTGACACGCGTTTCGTCTTGTAAGGCAACAATCCCCAGAACAGCGTTATTCCTGACCGAAGGAACAATGTAGTCTGTGAACTCTGACGTGATGGGAAGACTCGTGTAGGCATCGCAGGACCCGTAACTGTGGCCGTAGGTGTACGCGTAGGCTGATATAGGCGTCGTGCAGTTGACGAGGATACCTTTGTTGATGACAGCGGCTCCGTGTGGCACCCCTGTCATTCCCGATACGTCAAATGGAACGACATCATTCCCAGGGAGTTGTACTGTAGACGTCTTTCTCCTCCCATCGTCGTAGCTGATTGCGCAGGACCCCGGGTCGCGTGACGCTAGGAATAGGTGGTTTTTCAATCCATAGATGGGATTTTCCACAGATTCAGGGAAAAAGGCCACGAGGAAGACATTGTCCGTTCTCGTCCCGGCATCTGCAGCATGAAATGTGAAGGATCACCTTGTGGATGACAGTGAGGATGAGGAAGATAGTTATGTTAAACACCAGGTATAGAACTGCCATTACCACTGTCACACCAAGCCGACACGCCGCGACTGAATTATTGTTTAAACCCCACTCACCCAATACTTAATTGTGAGTGAAGCCGATAGAGCCCAACACACATACGAACACGTGATCATAAAAATACCCCATAGAAAACGCATGCATAATAATCACATGACCTACACCGATTTTGACGTGATGCGGCCGAAGCGGTTCCTGACGTAGTGTTGAACTTGTCACAACACTGACGACGGTGCTGAACGTGTCACAACACTGACGACGGTGCTGAACGTGTCACAACACTGACGACGCTGCGGTCACTCCACCGGGGAGTCTCTGTCTAACACACTTAACAATGGGCCGGTCACTCCACCTGGGAGTCTCTGTCTAACACATTTAACAATGGGACGGTCACTCCACCGGGGAGTCTCTGTCTAACACACTTAACAACGGGCCGGTCACTACACCTTGGAGTCTCTGTCTAACACACTTAACAACGGGCCGGTCACTACACCTTGGAGTCTCTGTCTAACACATTTAACACTGGGCCGGTCGCTACACCTGGGAGTCTCTGTCTAACCCACTTAACAATGGACCGGTTACTACACCTTGGAGTCTCTGTCTAACACATTTTAACAATGGGCCGGTCACTACACCTAGGAGTCTCTGTCTAACACATTTAACAATGGGCCGGTCCCTACACCTGGGAGTCTCTGTCTAACACATTTAACAATGGGCCGGTCGCTACACCTGGGAGTCTCTGTCCAACACACTTAACAATGGACCGGTTACTACACCTGGGAGTCTCTGTCTAACACATTTAACAACGGGCCGGTCGCTACACCTGGGAGTCTCTGTCTAACACATTTAACAATGGGCCGGTCGCTACACCTGGGAGTCTCTGTCTAACACATTTAACACTGGGCCGGTTACTACACCTGGGAGTCTCTGTCTAACACACTTAACAATGGGTCGGTCACTACACCTAGGAGTCTCTGTCTAACACATTTAACACTGGGCCGGTTACTACACCTGGGAGTCTCTGTCTAACACAGACACGATGTACAGACAGCCCCTCTCTACAACGCTACGGCACGATGTACAGACAGCCCCTCTCTACAACGCTCCTGGGACGGTGTACAGACAGCCCCTCTCTACACCGCTACGGCACGATGTACAGACAGCCCCTCTCTACAACGCTCCTGGGACGGTGTACAGACAGCCCCTCTCTACAACGCTCCTGGCACGATGTACAGACAGCTCCTCTCTACAACGCTCCTGACACGATGTACAGACAGCCCCTCTCTACAACGCTCCTGGCACGGTGTTCAGACAGCCCCTCTCTACACCGCTACGGCACGATGTTCAGACAGCCCCTCTCTACAACGCTCCTGGGAAGGTGCACAGACAGCCCCTCTCTACAACGCTCCTGGCACGGTGTACAGACAGCCCCTCTCTTCAACGCTCCTGGCACGATATACAGACAGCCCCTCTCGTCAACTCACCCTGGGAAACGACGGAACACACTCCACTTAGCAGCAGAAGGGGTAGAAACGTTGAAGCGCCGGGCATGCTGGTGTTGCTGTGGTTGCTGGTGTTGCTGTGGTTGCTGTGGTTGCTGTAGTTGCTGTAATTGCTGTTCCCGTGCAGCAGCTCGGTAGGTCCTGGCGCTTGATGTTGTGACAGGTGACGACAGCCTTATCTCTAGGTTGGGCTAACGTGACATTTCACCTTGACTCAAATATAAATGCGTTCAATAACGAATTTCAGTTCATAGTTAGCTCACCTTCACATGGTCAATTGCACAGGTATGAAGTGAGATAATTTCTTTCAGTTTCATTATCTTCACGGGGGTTAGATCGTGTCAGCCTAGACCCTTCTCACTTTGTGCACCATTATCGAAATGAACATGCTGCGTATTAAGTTAATCAAGGCATGCAATAGCTTCGCTAAATGAACATGCTGTGTATTAAGTTAATCAAGGCATGCAATAGCTTCGCTAAATGAACATGCTGTGTATTAAGTTAATCAAGGCATGCAATAGCTTCGCTAAATGAACATGCTGTGTATTAAGTTAATCAAGGCATGCAATAGCTTCGCTAAATGAACATGCTGTGTATTAAGTTAATCAAGGCATGCAATAGCTTCGCTAAATGAACATGCTGTGTATTAAGTTAATCAAGGCATGCAATAGCTTCGCTAAATGAACATGCTGTGTATTAAGTTAATCAAGGCATGCAATAGCTTCGCTAAATGAACATGCTGTGTATTAAGTTAATCAAGGCATGCAATAGCTTCGCTAAATGAACATGCTGTGTATTAAATTAACCACGGCATGCAATAGCTTCGCTAAATGAACATGCTGTGTATTAAATTAACCACGGCATGCAATAGCTTCGTTAAATGCATGGCGGGACGCGTGCCTTCAATACCATATCTTGACAGCTTTCAAATTTAATGTTTCCATTTTTCAATCTCAATCATATATCGTCATGACGAGATGGGTATCCGCGGTGTGCCTCCTTTCCCCGTTAATACTGGTAAGTGTCGATTCCCAAATTGAAATTGAAACAATGTGTTAACCCAGAAATCTGTACTTTGGAGAATTTAGTGCGAAACCAACAACAACCAACAACACCAGGGTGAAAAGTGATCTTCACATGAAAGCTGATCTTGAAGTAATGTGAGATGACAGGCACACGCCCGCTCCACTGACGAGCTTACACAGCGCTTGACCAGTCCAGTGTCAGAACTTCACAGAAGAGTCCACTTGTATATGTGGGTCTAAATGGGTATATGTGGGTCTAAATGGGTATATGAGAGTTTAAATGGGTATATGTGGGTCTAAATGGGTATATGTAGGTCTAAATGGGTATATGTGGGTCTAAATGGGTCTAAATGTGTATGTGTGGATCTAAAGGGGTATATGCGGGTCTAAATGGGTACACATTGGTCTAAATGGGTATATGTGGGTCTAATTGGGTGTATGTGGGTTTTAATGGGTATATGTGGGTCTAAATGGGTATATGTAGGTCTAAATGTGTATATGTGGGTCTAAACGGCTATATGTAGGTGTAAATGGGTATATGTGGGTCTAATTGGGTGTATGTGGGTTTTGATGGGTATATGTGGGTCTAAACGGCTATATGTAGGTCTTAATGTGTATATGTAGGTCTAAATGTGTATATGTAGGTCTAAATGTGTATATGTGGGTCTAAACGGCTATATGTAGGTGTAAATGGGTATATGTGGGTCTAATTGGGTGTATGTGGGTTTTAATGGGTATATGTGGGTCTAAATGGGTATATGTAGGTCTAAATGTGTATATGTGGGTCTAAACGGCTATATGTAGGTCTAAATGGGTATATGTGGGTCTAATTGGGTGTATGTGGGTTTTGATGGGTATATGTGGGTCTAAACGGGTATATGTAGGTCTAAATGTGTATATGTGGGTCAAGTCAACACAAACCATAAATTATCTGCTTGATCAAACACGTTCTCCCAAACTCTGTATTTTGGCTTAATAGATGAAGACACCGATCTTGTTTCCAACTCTGTGTCATGTGTTGACGTGCCCTACTTCACTGGCTAAGATAATCAGGCTGTCCCGGCGTGTCAAACCCACTTAACAATGGGCCGGTTACTACACCTGGGAGTCTCTGTCCAACACACTTAACAATGGGCCGGTCACTCCACCGGGGAGTCTCTGTCTAACACACTTAACAATGGGCCGGTCACTACACCTGGGAGTCTCTGTCCAACACACTTTACAAGCGGACGGTCACTCCACCGGGGAGTCTCTGTCCAACACACTTAACAATGGACCGGTTACTACACCTGGGAGTCTCTGTCTAACACATTTAACAACGGGCCGGTCACTACACCTGGGAGTCTCTGTCCAACACACTTAACAATGGACCGGTTACTACACCTGGGAGTCTCTGTCTAACACATTTAACAACGGGCCGGTCGCTACACCTGGGAGTCTCTGTCTAACACATTTAACACTGGGCCGGTTACTACACCTGGGAGTCTCTGTCTAACACACTTAACAATGGGTCGGTCACTACACCTAGGAGTCACTGTCTAACACATTTAACACTGGGCCGGTTACTACACCTGGGAGTCTCTGTCTAACACACTTAACAATGGGTCGGTCACTACACCTAGGAGTCTCTGTCTAACACACTTAACACTGGGCCGGTTACTACACCTGGGAGTCTCTGTCTAACACACTTAACAATGGGCCGGTTACTACACCTGGGAGTCTCTGTCCAACCCACTTACCAATGGGTCGGTCACTACACCTAGGAGTCTCTGTCTAACACACTTAACACTGGGCCGGTTACTACACCTGGGAGTCTCTGTCTAACACACTTAACAATGGGCCGGTTACTACACCTGGGAGTCTCTGTCTAACACACTTAACACTGGGCCGGTTACTACACCTGGGAGTCTCTGTCTAACACATTTAACAATGAGCCGGTCACTACACCTAGGAGTCTCTGTCTAACACACTTAACAATGGACCGGTTACTACACCTGGGAGTCTCTGTCTAACACACTTAACAATGGGCCGGTTACTACACCTAGGAGCCTCTGTCTAACACACTTAACAATGGGCCGGTTACTTCACCTGGGAGTCTCTGTCTAACACATTTAACAATGAGCCGGTCACTACACCTAGGAGTCTCTGTCTAACACACTTAACAATGGGCCGGTTACTACACCTGGGAGTCTCTGTCTAACACACTTAACAATGGGCCGGTCACTTCACCTGGGAGCCTCTGTCTAACACACTTAACAATGGGCCGGTTACTACACCTGGGAGTCTCTGTCTAACACACTTAACAATGGGCCGGTTACTACACCTGGGAGTCTCTGTCTAACACACTTAACAATGGGCCGGTTACTTCACCTGGGAGTCTCTGCCTAACACATTTAACAATGAGCCGGTCACTACACCTAGGAGTCTCTGTCTAACACACTTAACACTGGGCCGGTTACTACACCTGGGAGTCTCTGTCTAACACACTTAACAATGGGCCGGTCACTTCACCTGGGAGCCTCTGTCTAACACACTTAACAATGGGCCGGTTACTACACCTGGGAGTCTCTGTCTAACACACTTAACAATGGGCCGGTTACTACACCTGGGAGCCTCTGTCTAACACATTTAACACTGGGCCGGTTACTACACCTGGGAGTCTCTGTCTAACAAACTTAACAATGGGCCGGTCACTACACCTATCCTGTGTGCCAATGTCATCATGTGTGTGCTCCTGTCACCCTGTGTGCCCCTGTCACCCTGTGTGTGCCCCTGTCATCCTGTGTGTGCCCCTGTCATCATGTGTGCCTCTGTCTCCCTTTGTGTGCCCCTGTCATCCTTTTGTTGTCCCTGTCATCCTGTGTGCCCCTGTCATCCTGTGTGTGCCCCTGTCATCGTTTGTTGTCCCTGTCATCCTGTGTGCCCCTGTCATCCTGTGTGCCCCTGTCATCGTTTGTTGTCCCTGTCATCCTGTGTGCCCCTGTCATCCTGTGTGCCCCTGTCATCCTGTGCGCCCCTGTCATCCTGTGCGCCCCTGTCATCCTGTGTGCCCCTGTCATCCTGTGCGCCCCTGTCATCCTGTGTGCCCCTGTCATCCTGTGTGCCCCTGTCATCCTGTGTGCCCCTGTCATCCTGTGCGCCCCTGTCATCCTGTGCGCCCCTGTCATCCTGTGCGCCCCTGTCATCCTGTGTGCCCCTGTCATCCTGTGTGCCCCTGTCATCCTGTGTGCCCCTGTCATCCTGTGTGCCCCTGTCATCCTGTGTGCCCCTGTCATCCTGTGTGCCCCTGTCACCCTGTGTGTGCCCCTGTCATCCTGTGTGTGCCCCTATCATCCTGTGTGCCCCTGTCATTCTGTGTGTGCCTCTGTCATCCTGTTGTTGCCCCTGTCATCCTCTGCGTGCCCCTGTCACCCTGTGTGTGCCCCTGTCATCCTTTTGTTGTCCCTGTCATCCTGTGTGCCCCTGTCACCCTGTGTGTGCCCCTGTCATCCTGTGTGTGCCCCTGTCATCCTGTGTGCCCCTGTCATTCTGTGTGTGCCCCTGTCATCCTGTTTGCCCCTGTCATCATGCTGTTGCCCCTGTCATCCTGTGTGTGCCCCTATCACCCTGTGTGTGCCCCTGTCATCCTGTGTGTGCCCCTGTCATCCTGTTGTTGCCTCTGTCACCCTGTGTGTGCCCCTATCACCCTGTGTGTGCCCCTGACATCCTGTTGTTGCCCCTGTCATCCTGTGTGCCCCTGTGATTCTGTGTGTGCCCCTGTCATCCTGTTGTTGCCCCTGTCATCCTGTTGTTGCCCATATCACCCTGTGTGTGCGCTTGTCATCCTGTTGTTGCCCCTATCACCCTGTGTGTGCCCCTGTCATCCTGTTGTTGTCCCTGTCATCCTGTTGTTGTCCCTGTCATCCTGTGTGCCCCTCTCGTCCTGTGTGCCCCTGTGATTCTGTGTGTGCCCCTGTCATCCTGTTGTTGCCCCTGTCATCCTGTGTGCCCCTTTCATTCTGTGTGTGCCCATGTCATCCTGTGTGTGCCCATGTCATCCTGTGTGTGCCCATGTCATCCTGTTGTTGCCCCTGTCATCCTGTTGTTGCCCATGTCATCCTGTGTGTGCCCCTATCATCCTGTGTGTGCCCCTGTCATCCTGTTTGCCCATGTCATCATGTTGTTGCCCCTGTCATCCTGTTGTTGCCCATGTCATCCTGTGTGTGCCCCTGTCATTCTGTGTGTGCCCATGTCATCCTGTGTGTGCCCCTGTCATCCTGTTGTTGCCCCTGTCACCCTGTGTGTGCCCCTATCACCCTGTGTGTGCCCCTGTCATCCTGTTGTTGCCCCTGTCATCATGTGTGTGCCCCTGTCATTCTGTGTGTGCCCATGTCATCCTGTGTGTGCCCCTGTCATCCTGTTGTTGCCCCTGTCATCCTGTTGTTGCCCATGTCATCCTGTGTGTGCCCCTGTCATCCTGTGTGTGCCCCTGTCATCCTGTGTGTGCCCCTGTCATCCTGTTTGCCCATGTCATCATGTTGTTGCCCCTGTCATCCTGTTGTTGCCCCTGTCATTCTGTGTGTGCCCCTGTCATCCTGTTTGCCCATGTCATCATGTTGTTGCCCCTGTCATCCTGTTGTTGCCCATGTCATCCTGTGTGTGCCCCTGTCATCCTGTTTGCCCATGTCATCATGTTGTTGCCCCTGTCATCCTGTTGTTGCCCATGTCATCCTGTGTGTGCCCCTGTCATCCTGTTTGCCCATGTCATCATGTTGTTGCCCCTGTCATCCTGTTGTTGCCCCTGTCATCCTGTTTGCCCATGTCATCCTGTTGTTGCCCCTGTCATCATGTTGTTGCCCCTGTCATCCTGTTGTTGCCCCTGTCATCCTGTTTGCCCATGTCATCATGTTGTTGCCCCTGTCATCCTGTTTGCCCATGTCATCCTGTTGTTGCCCATGTCATCATGTTGTTGCCCCTGTCATCCTGTTGTTGCCCCTGTCATCCTGTTTGCCCATGTCATCCTGTTGTTGCCCCTGTCATCATGTTGTTGCCCCTGTCATCCTGTTTGCCCATGTCATCATGTTGTTGCCCCTGTCATCATGTTGTTGCCCCTGTCATCATGTTGTTGCCCCTGTCTTCATGTTGTTGCCCCTGTCATCCTGTTGTTGCCCCTGTCATCCTGTTTGCCCCTGTCATCCTGTTGTTGCCCCTGTCATCCTGTTTGCCCATGTCATCCTGTTGTTGCCCCTGTCATCATGTTGTTGCCCCTGTCATCCTGTTGTTGCCCCTGTCATCCTGTTTGCCCATGTCATCATGTTGTTGCCCCTGTCATCATGTTGTTGCGCCTGTCATCCTGTTTGCCCATGTCATGTTGTTTCCCCTGTCATCCTGTTGTTGCCCATGTCATCATGTTGTTGCCCCTGTCATCCTGTTTGCCCATGTCATCATGTTGTTGCCCCTGTCATCCTGTTGTTGCCCCTGTCATCCTGTTGTTGCCCCTGTCATCCTGTTTGCCCATGTCATCATGTTGTTGCCCCTGTTATCCTGTGTGTGCCCCTGTCATCTTGTTGTTGCCCATGTCATCCTGTGTGTGCCCCTGTCATCCTGTGTGTGCCCATGTCATCCTGTTTGCCCATGTCATCATGTTGTTGCCCCTGTCATCCTGTTGTTGCCCCTGTCATTCTGTGTGTGCCCCTGTCATCCTGTTTGCCCATGTCATCATGTTGTTGCCCCTGTCATCCTGTTGTTGCCCATGTCATCCTGTGTGTGCCCCTGTCATCCTGTTTGCCCATGTCATCATGTTGTTGCCCCTGTCATCCTGTTGTTGCCCCTGTCATCCTGTTTGCCCATGTCATCATGTTGTTGCCCCTGTCATCATGTTGTTGCCCCTGTCATCCTGTTTGCCCATGTCATCATGTTGTTGCCCCTGTCATCCTGTTGTTGCCCATGTCATCCTGTTGTTGCCCCTGTCATCCTGTTTGCCCATGTCATCATGTTGTTGCCCCTGTCATCATGTTGTTGCCCCTGTCATCCTGTTTGCCCCTGTCATCCTGTTTGCCCCTGTCATCCTGTTGTTGCCCATGTCATCCTGTTGTTGCCCCTGTCATCCTGTTTGCCCATGTCATCATGTTGTTGCCCCTGTCATCATGTTGTTGCCCCTGTCATCCTGTTTGCCCATGTCATCATGTTGTTGCCCCTGTCATCCTGTGTGTGATCCTGTCATCCTGTTGTTGCCCCTGTCATCCTGTGTGTGCCCATGTCATCCCGTGTGTGCCCCTGTCATCCTGTGTGTGCCCTTGTCACCCTGTGTGTGCCCCTGTCATCATGTTTGTGCCCCTGTCATCCTGTGTGTAGCAGTCATTCTGCTCATGAAGACAGTTTGAGTTGTGGATTTCAACTGTGCCTCGTGTTATTACAGGCGTCGTTCCCAGGCTTCTTCTGTTTGTTAGTCCCTGTGAATGTCTCAGCTGAACAGGAATGTACTACTCAACTTGTGGATCACGCGACAAAGGCACGAGCATCAGCACAGTTGTGGCGCATTGAAAGAATAATGAAACAGACGTTTAAATCCACAAGTCACTACCATCTTCTAAAATACCACCGCGTGTGGCACAGCCATTCTGCGTATAGAATGGCGACAGTCATGTTCGTGAAAGTTACATCAATCTACAACAAATAGGATAACTTGGTATCGACTACATAGACTTTGTGTCTTTAGAGAGTGAGCATTCGAATCCTGTTTGGGAAAAAAGTACTAGAATATGTACTTTACTGGGAAAGTGTTATCGCAAATATAACGTTTGTTGCATATACTTTACATCATTTCTTGTTTCATATTCCACAACAACCCTTTCGTTAGTGTATGATAACTAGAGGTGTCATTTTCAGTGACAGCAATGGACAGAAATAAAAAAGACCTCATTATACCAAAACTGTATTTCTTTTTTTTTCAGCTACCTCCGCCATGACGTCATGCAATCACGTGTTGTTCTCGGACGGCCTAAACCACACGGAGCCGGAACTGAAGGCTCGCCTCATGCTGCTGGAGAACAGCGAGGCCCTCAACAAGCTGCCCGCCATCTTGTTTATAGGAGGGCTGCTTCTCATCGGCTTCTGCGGCAACCTGCTCGTGTGTGCTGTGTACTATTCCAAATTCACTGCAAGTACGTCGAAATACTTTATCCTCAGTTTAGCCATCTTTGATTTGGTGAACTGTTTGATTGCCATCCCAGCTGAAATGGTGGACTTGAGATTTGATTATCACTTCAACTCACCGCATGTGTGTAGGATAATGAGATTCACAATTACCTTCAACACTACAGCGTCAGCAGGCGCCTTACTCGCCATTGCAATTGATCGGTACAGGAAAATATGTCGGCCGTTCGAGAGACAGATGAGTTTGAAGGAGACTCGTCTGTGGATTGTGTTCGCGGTGGTCGGGTCCCTGCTGCTGTCATGGCCGGCGACACTGCTGTACGGGCGTCGTACAGAACAGATGAGTGGGATTGACACATACGATTGTTCCTTTGATGACAGTGTTGTTGATAAATGGTACCCACAGGTGTACATCGTCATACTGACTGTGATGTGTCTGGCTACCATGGCCGCCCTGGTGGTCCTGTATGTACTCATTGTGGTACGCGTGTGGAGACAGAAGTCACGGAGGAAAAAGATGTCACGGTCAGCCATAACTAAAAACTCATCAGCATCACTTGCAGACTCAATACGGAAGTTGAACTGCATGGTGGGAAATACGACGGAAGTGATGCAGCTTAGTGCTGATAGGGATGCCAGTATCTTGAGTACAGAGCAACGAAGGAGACAGAACTTAAACCAGAACCAAACCATCAAAACAACAATAATGTTGTTCTGTGTCACAGTGGTTTTCATTATAAGTTTTATTCCATTCTTCGCATTGCAGATAATTAAAAGTATATACCCTGGCTTTGAGGACGGCCTTCATTGTAATCACTCTGCTTTGATCGCTTACAAACTTTTCCTGCGGTCCTTTTTCATCAACAGTGCAGCAAATCCTATCATTTACAGTTTCTGTAACGACGGGTTCCGTCTGGAGTGTAAGACAGTGGTGAGGAAAGTCTTCTGTTGTCTGTGCAAACAAAGCTCTTGCTGTCAAGCTCCGAAACCCTGTGAGGAGATTAACGTTCCAAATCAGTTCCGGAGTTTAGAAGCAGTCCCCGATTGTTAACCCTAATTATATATACTGCAACAGTAAAGTATTTTTTCAGGTAACACATTTACAATTGTGTGTTCATATATTGATATCAGGTGATATTTTGTTCATTATACCTCTATATAAAATAAATTGTATCTTTGATGTATATGTAAGGTGAGTGAGTGAGTGGCTTTTAATGTGAGAGGCAAACCCGAAGTGATGCTGGTGTCAGACGTTTACCACTTGGGTTAAACACACAATCCCGTGATGGTGCTGATAAACCAAGAAAAAAACATAATCAGAGCTTCGTATACTTCAAATTTATTGACGGACCAACGTACGTACCTGGCTATTTGGTAGGACAAACCACAGTCTGAACCATTCAAAGAATAACAGATGAATAATCGTTTTTCCCCAGCAGAGTGAAGGAATAATTAGCACTAGCGCCCTCTACAGACAGACGTCTTCCACTAAAGGAAGAGGCCACTAGCGCCCTCTACAGACAGACGTCTTCCACTAAAGGAAGAGGCCACTAGCGCCCTCTACAGACAGACGTCTTCCACTAAAGGAAGAGACCATTAGCGCCCTCTACAGACAGACGTCTTCCACTAAACATAGAGACCGTTAGGGCCCTCTCAAGGCAGACGCTCAACTTACCACTAAAGGAAGAGGCTACTAGCGCCCTCTACAGACAGACGTCTTTCACTAAAGGAAGAGGCCACTAGCGCCCTCTACAGACAGACATCTTCCACTAAAGGAAGAGGCTTCTAGCGCCCTCTACAGGCAGACGCTCAACTTACCACTAAAGGAAAAGAACGCCAGCGCCCTCTACAGGCAGAGGCTCAACTTACCACTAAAGAAGAGGCTACTAGCGCCCTCTACAGACATACGTCTTCCACTAAAGGAAGAGACCACGAGCGCCCGCTTCAGACAGACGTCTTCCACTAAAGGTAGAGACCACGAGCGCCCGCTTCAGACAGACGCTCCTCTACTGGAAGAAGTCAATGCTAGATATTGTGTGCATGATGAATTAGGCCCCGGTGGTGCAAAGTTATATCATACAAAATACAATGTAAGGCAATGTAAGGTCATGTAAGGTACTGTAAGGTACTGTAAGGTCATGTAAGGCAATGTAAGGTCATGTAAGGTACTGTAAGGTACTGTAAGGCGTTTGGTAATCCATGAAGGCAGTAAGGACCGTATGGTTAGTACAATTCACAGGAAAACTACCTGTCACATAGGAAGTGGCTTTTCCCTTTTAATTTGAGCCCTTTATTCAAAATTCCTACCAAAGTAAGATCCCAGAATATTTAAACCAAGGCATATTAAAACTTATTAGGTGATATTGTTGGGTCCAAATTGAGAGGGATGGGGGCTGATCATGGAAAATATTTTCCACGTATTCCATACATCTGGTATATCGACCCCCACGCCCCCCCAAAACAACACAACCCCCCCCCCCCCCAAAAAAAAAAAAAACACCAAAAAAACCCAACAAAACAAAACAAAAAAACAACAACAAAAAACCCAAACAAAACAAAACAGACAAACTCTCCTCCACAGAAGTGAGAGACTGCTGGAGGTAGTAGTTCCTGAACTGAAGGAAGACTGCTATCTAGCGCATGCAGGACAATAGATGGCGACCGTGAAATGAAAACAAAATAGCTTTACCTTATGTATTTGAATTAAACACAACAATTTATTCGTTCATAAAAGCATATTAGACATAAGCAGTGTCAGTCTGTCGGTGATTATCAGGTTTGATTAGATGATCACTTCCACCCGTTGCAGGGTGAGACGGGTGGCCCAGTTGTCTAAGGCGCCGCAACTCGCTTAGTAGAGTTGCTGTTACTGTGCAGAGTTGCGTCCCTTGGGCACGCCAGAAACCTATGCTTGTGGGGTTTGTTTGTTTGTTGTTTAACGCCGCACTCAGCAATGTTTCAGCTACATGACGGCGGTCTGTAAATCGAGTCTGAAACAGACAATAACGTGATTGACATCATGAGCATCGATCCACGCAATTGGGTACGATGACATGCATCAACCAAGCCATCGAGCCTGACCACCAGATCCCGTTAGTCGCTTCTTACGACAAGCATAGTTTGTAGGTTCGAATCCCGGTTCGCACCGATTATGTTTGTCAGCACCATACTCGTGCTCGTGTGTTTAGTCTAAGACCCGCATCACTTCGGGCTTTCCTCACACATTTAGCTGACACGCCGTGACACAAAGTGAGTGAGTGAGTTGTGTTTTAACGGCGCTTCTAGCAGAGTTCCAGTTATATCATGGCGTTCCACCTTGTGTGTCAAAGCCTACCCCAAGTCCCCAAGGGACAATAGTTTCACAAAACTCAAACATTACACATGAAGTCGATATAAACTATACAAGTCTTGAATACATGGAGTAACATGCTGGACAGTTATTAATGACTAGGTATACCATCAACATTCTTTCCACCTTCCCACCACACGACGCCCCTCACACCCTCTGTAAGCTCCACACCTTGACTTCCCCAATACCTGGCCCCTCCCAACCCATGTCCCCAGTCCCACGTGGCCCTCCTTCACAGGCTGGTTGTCTGGGGGTGACAAGGAATGACTTCCATCACCACTGGGCACCATACACTTTCACCAGCTCCGACACCAGCAGTTTCTTCTCCGCATCAGGGAGGAAGGATGATCTTGCTGCATTGAATATCTGCATGGAAAGAAAATATCTGTATAGGTATCCTTAAGTAAAGTTATGTACAATGGGTATGCATAAGTAAAGTCGTGTACCATGGGTATCCATAAGTTAGGTCGTGTACCATGGGTATCCATAAGTAAAGTCGTGTACCATGCGTATCCATAAGTAAAGTCGTGTACCATGCGTATCCATAAGTAAAGTCGTGTACCATGGGTATCCATAAGTTAGGTCGTGTACCATGGGTATCCATAAGTTAGGTCGTGTACCATGGGTATCCATAAGTAAAGTCGTGTACCATGGGTATCCATAAGTTAGGTCGTGTACCATGGGTATCCATAAGTTAGGTCGTGTACCATGGGTATCCATAAGTTAGGTCGTGTACCATGGGTATCCATAAGTTAGGTCGTGTACCATGGGTATCCATAAGTAAAGTCGTGTACCATGCGTATCCATAAGTAAAGTCGTGTACCATGGGTATCCATAAGTTAGGTCGTGTACCATGGGTATCCATTAGTAACGTCGTGTACCATGGGTATCCATAAGTAAAGTCATGTACCATGGGTATCCATAAGTAAAGTCATGTACCATGGGTATCCATAAGTTTGGTCGTGTACCATGGGTATCCATAAGTTAGGTCGTGTACCATGGGTATCCATAAGTTAGGTCGTGTACCATGGGTATCCATAAGTTAGGTCGTGTACCATGGGTATCCATAAGTTAGGTCGTGTACCACGGGTATCCATAAGTTAGGTCGTGTACCATGGGTATCCATAAGTTAGGTCGTGTACCATGGGTATCCATAAGTTAGGTCGTGTACCATGGGTATCCATAAGTTAGGTCGTGTACCATGGGTATCCATAAGTTAGGTCGTGTACCATGGGTATCCATAAGTTAGGTCGTGTACCATGGGTATCCATAAGTTAGGTCGTGTACCATGGGTATCCATAAGTTAGGTCGTGTACCATGGGTATCCATAAGTTAGGTCGTGTACCATGGGTATCCATAAGTTAGGTCGTGTACCATGGGTATCCATAAGTTAGGTCGTGTACCATGGGTATCCATAAGTTAGGTCGTGTACCATGGGTATCCATAAGTTAAGTCGTGTACCATGCGTATCCATAAGTAAAGTCGTGTACCATGGGTATCCATAAGTTAGGTCGTGTACCATGGGTATCCATTAGTAACGTCGTGTACCATGGGTATCCATAAGTAAAGTCATGTACCATGGGTATCCATAAGTAAAGTCCTGTACCATGGGTATCCATAAGTTTGGTCGTGTACCATGGGTATCCATAAGTTAGGTCGTGTACCATGGGTATCCATAAGTTAGGTCGTGTACCATGGGTATCCATAAGTTAGGTCGTGTACCATGGGTATCCATAAGTTAGGTCGTGTACCACGGGTATCCATAAGTTAGGTCGTGTACCATGGGTATCCATAAGTTAGGTCGTGCACCATGGGTGTAAGGCTTTATCACACAATCTAGTGTCAGTAACAGTTGAAATGTTAACCGATTGTGTGATGTGATCATCTGACAAGCCAAATTCCTTCGCCGTCATGTAGTCGTCTGTAAGGGTGTTGTCCAAGACTGTAGGGTCGTCGGTGTTCAGTGAGAAGTTGGCTTTGTCCTGGGCGAACCTGGAGCAGGAGAGACCGTTGATCACACACATGGGAGATAACTGGTTACAACACACACAGGGGAGATAACTGGTCACAACACACACATGGGAGATAACTGGTTACAACACACACAGGGGAGATAACTGGTTACAACACACACAGGGGAGATAACTGGTTACAACACACACAGGGGAGATAACTGGTGACAACACACACAGGGGAGATAACTGGTCACAACACACACAGGGGAGATAACTGGTTACAACACACACAGGGGAGATAACTGGTCACAACACACACATGGGAGATAACTGGTTACAACACACACATGGGAGATAACTGGTTACAACACACACAGGGGAGATAACTGGTTACAACACACACAGGGGAGATAACTGGTTACAACACACACAGGGGAGATAACTGGTCACAACACACACAGGGGAAAAAACTAGTCACAACACACACAGGGGAGATAACTGGTCACAACACACACATTGGAGATAACTAGTCACAACACACACAGGGGAGATCACCTGTCACAACACACAAAGGGGAGATAACTTGTCACAACACACACAGGGAAGATAACTTGCCACAACACACACAGGGGAGATAACTGGTCACAACACACACATTGGAGATAACTGGTCACAACACACAGTGGAGATAACTAGCCATAACACACACAGGGGAGATAACTTGTCACAACACACTCACAGGGGAGATAACTTGTCACAACACACAAAGGGGAGATAACTTGTCACAACACACACAGGGAAGATTACTTGCCACAACACACACAGGGGAGATAACTGGTCACAACACACACATTGGAGATAACTGGTCACAACACACAGTGGAGATAACTAGCCATAACACACACAGGGGAGATAGCTTGTCACAACACACACACAGGGGAGATAACCTGTCACAAGACACAAAGGGGAGATAACTTGTCACAACACACACAGGGAAGATTACTTGCCACAACACACACAGGGGAGATAACTGGTCACAACACACACATTGGAGATAACTGGTCACAACACACAGTGGAGATAACTAGCCATAACACACACAGGGGAGATAACTTGTCACAACACACACACAGGGGAGATAACCTGTCACAACACACAAAGGGGAGATAACTTGTCACAACACACACAGGGAAGATTACTTGCCACAACACACACAGGGGAGATAACTGGTCACAACACACACATTGGAGATAACTGGTCACAACACACAGTGGAGATAACTAGCCATAACACACACAGGGGAGATAACTTGTCACAACACACACACAGGGGAGATAACCTGTCACAACACACAAAGGGGAGATAACTTGTCACAACACACACAGGGAAGATTACTTGCCACAACACACACAGGGGAGATAACTGGTCACAACACACACATTGGAGATAACTGGTCACAACACACAGTGGAGATAACTAGCCATAACACACACAGGGGAGATAACTTGTCACAACACACACACAGGGGAGATAACTTGTCACAACACACACAAAGGGGAGATAACTTGTCACAACACACACACAGGGGAGATAACCTGTCACAACACACACAGGGGAGATAACTTGTCACAACACACAGTGGAGATAACTAGCCATAACACACACAGGGGAGATAACTAGCCATAACACACACAGGGGAGATAACTTGTCACAACACACACACAGGGAAGATAACTAGCCATAACACACACAGGGGAGATAACTTGTCACAACACACACACAGGGAAGATAACTAGCCATAACACACACAGGGGAGATAACTTGTCACAACACACACACAGGGGAGATAACTAGCCATAACACACACAGGGGAGATAACTTGTCACAACACACAGTGGAGATAACTAGCCATAACACACACAGGGGAGATAACTTGTCACAAGACACACACAGGGGAGATAACTTGTCACAACACACAGTGGAGATAACTAGCCATAACACACACAGGGGAGATAACTTGTCACAACACACACACAGGGGAGATAACTAGCCATAACACACACAGGGGAGATAACTGGTCACAACACACAGTGGAGATAACTAGCCATAACACACACAGGGGAGATAACTTGTCACAAGACACACACAGGGGAGATAACCTGTCACAACACACAAAGGGGAGTTAACTTGTCACAACACACACAGGGAAGATTACTTGCCACAACACACACAGGGGAGATAACTGGTCACAACACACACATTGGAGATAACTGGTCACAACACACAGTGGAGATAACTAGCCATAACACACACAGGGGAGATAACTTGTCACAACACACAAACAGGGGAGATAACCTGTCACAACACACAAAGGGGAGATAACTTGTCACAACACACACAGGGAAGATTACTTGCCACAACACACACAGGGGAGATAACTGGTCACAACACACACATTGGAGATAACTGGTCACAACACACAGTGGAGATAACTAGCCATAACACACACAGGGGAGATAACTTGTCACAACACACACACAGGGGAGATAACTTGTCACAACACACACACAGGGGAGATAACCTGTCACAACACACAGTGGAGATAACTAGCCATAACACACACAGGGGAGATAACTTGTCATAACACACACACAGGGGAGATAACCTGTCACAACACATAAAGGGGAGATAACTTGTCACAACACACAGTGGAGATAACTAGCCATAACACACACAGGGGAGATAACCTGTCACAACACACACAGGGGAGATAACTGGTCACAACACACAGTGGAGATAACTAGCCATAACACACACAGGGGAGATAACTTGTCACAACACACAGTGGAGATAACTAGCCATAACACACACAGGGGAGATAACTTGTCACAACACACACACAGGGGAGATAACCTGTCACAACACACAAAGGGGAGATAACTTGTCACAACACACAGTGGAGATAACTAGCCATAACACACACAGGGGAGATAACCTGTCACAACACACACAGGGGAGATAACTAGCCATAACACACACAGGGGAGATATCTAGTCACAACAAACACAGGACAGGGTGATAACTAGTGATAACACACACAGGGGAGATTACTAATTACAACACACTGGGAGATACCTAGTGATAACACACACAGAGGAGATAACTGGGGATAACACCTACTTGGAGATAACTAGTGATAACACACTGGGAGATAACTTATTACAACACACACAAAGGGGAGATAACCAGTGATACAAACACAGGGGAGATAACTAGTGATTCAACACGCTTGGAGATAACTTGTGATAACACACCAAGGGGAGATAACTAGTCACAACACACACAGGGGAGATAACTAGTCACAACACACACAGGGGAGATTACTAATCATAACACACACAAGGGAGATAACTAGTGATAACACACACAGGGGAGGTAACTAGTCACAACACACAGAGGTGATTACGAGTAAAAACACACATGGGAGATAACTGGTGATAACATACACAAGGGAGATAACTAGTGATAACACACAATAGTGATATAACTAGTGATAACACACACAGGGGAGATAACTAGTCACAACACACACGGGAGATAACTAGTCACAACACACACGGGAGATAACTAGTGATAACATACACACACGGGAGATAACTAGTAATAACACCCAATGGAGATATAACAAGTGATAACACACAATAGAGATATAACTAGTGATAACGCACACAGGGGAGATAACCAGTCACAACACACACGGGAGATAACTAGTGATAACACACAATAGAGATATAACAAGTGATAACACACAATAGAGATATAACTAGTGATAACGCACACAGGGGAGATAACCAGTTACAACACACACGGGGGATAAACAGTTATGACACAGGGTCATGAAACACAATGGACAAGAAGGCCATGAAATAATCTCATCGACACACACCGTAGGAGTACGCCATGAGAGACGCTTATTTCATCTTCACCCCTGCAAATTTCACCTCAATATAGGGTGGTTGCTCTTCCCATTCGGAGCACCTCCGGTTAAGATTGACGATATCGGACATGTTTCCAGATGAATTCTTTCTTCCAGTACTCTTTGGTACATCTTGTCACAATCAAGACTTCGGTAGCCGTGGCCGATCCTTTCAGCGTGGTACTCATCGAGAGCCTGAGAATACAACAAGCAGCATGGGCAGGATACAACAACACTACATATAGTCATGACAGTCAGTAGACAAGTATATCACAACGGGTGCCCGTATAACATGTTACAACATTCAATATAGACATTATAGCACAACACAACAGACAATATAACACGATACAACATTAAGTGTAGACAGTATACCACAACACAACAGACATTATAGCACAACACAACAGACAATATAACACGATACAACATTAAGTGTAGACAGTATACCACAACACAACAGACATTATAGCACAACACAACAGACAATATAACACGATACAACATTAAGTGTAGACAGTATAACACAACACAACAGACAGTATAGCACAACGGAACAGACAGTATGCCACAACACAACAGACATTTTTTTAAACGTGAAGTTTACACGATTATAGGGCTTTTCCATTGGACGAGAGGTCGGTCACTTGACCGCTAAACTGACGTTCATAAGTGGATGAACGACACTTTTTTCACGTGATTGTATTCTTGAAATGACGTCCACACTGACGAACTACTTTCACATTCCTTGGAAAAACCCTGGGAATTCCCTAGCATGAATAAATACAGAAGCGTGGTTTCTGATCATTTATACCCTTTAATCTTGAACTTAGCGGTCTAGCGGTCAGCATGCACTGAAATAAGACAGATGGTGAGACTGCATACCCGTACAAGACTATCCGCCCTACGGCCAATCCTAGTGACCCAAACGAAGAAATGCACATCCAGTGACAATCTTCGGCAAAGTGTAAATTACCCTAAGTATCTGTTAGACTCATCTTTATAATCACCTTTCAGTGATCGGACAATTTATCAATCATGACAAACACTTGAAATCGCAAAAGGTTCAAGAACAATTTCGGAAATCTCTCCCGTCACGTTTTTCGTGTCAGCCATTGTGACGTCCGGTATTTGATTATTACGATGTATTACGACGCGCTGTCACTGTGACCGACTTACTGGGGTAGTTTTTAGAGAGACCTTTTTGATCTAATGCATCCTCTATATCTGCAGCTGGCATTTCGGTAAACCTACACTAACCCTTGGATCCATACCCGTGGTTCTTGCAATCTCAGAGTACCTTTTTTTCCATTTGCGAATTTGATTCACAACGCTTCTAGGTATAACGTGCCAATTAGAATGCGGGTTACAAACCAGCCTCAGTGTTTGGTTGGACAGTCTCATTGATTATGATCGAGTTTGCGAGAAATTCAACATTGAAAAACTGACTGACACACAGAAGAAAACCCTCAAAATCTCATTGATGGAAAGGATGTCTTCATGTCCAAAGTGGCGGAAGCTTTGGTTTTTGGGTAACACGAGTTACCTCCCTTACCCTTTCCTTTTCCCCTATATCAACGTTTGTTTGGTCGTAAAAAGGTTAATGAAAATCAAGGGCGGCTAATTTGCGTTCGCAAATGCCAAGGGAATCTATTTGTTGTAACCAAACTACAATTTGAGCATGCATAAACTCATACAACCTCTTCTGAACTATTTTATTCCGCGTTCGTTGTTGTGGGGCTGTCAGTCTAAACATGACGTCTAAATGTACTAAATGAAATCCTGCAAGATATCCCTCGAGGTATATAACAGTGACATAAAAACTATAAGAATTGACTTTACTTTGTGTGAGTTCATTGGAGTGAGAACCTTCATAGAGTGAGTGCCAAACATTGCAGAACGCCGTCGTATGCTCCGAGGTACTTACAGTTTGGCCCTCACCCCTGATGCTTGTGAGTTCTGCTTGAAAGTAATGTGTTATGTGCCTGTGTGTGACGCCTGTGTGTGCCGCCTGACTGATGCCTGGGTGTGATGGCTGTGTATGATGGCTGTGCGTGACGCCTGTGTGTAATGCATATGTGTGACGCCTGTGTGTGATGCCTGGTAACGTCTGTGTGTGGCGCCTGTGTGTGGCGCCTGCGTGTGGCGCCTGTGTGTGATGCCTGTGTGTGGCGCCTGTGTGTGGCGCCTGTGTGTGATGCCTGTGTGTGGCGCCTGTGTGTGGCGCCTGTGTGTGATGCCTGTGTGTGGTGCCTGTGTGTGGCGCCTGTGTGTGGTGCCTGCGTGTGGCGCCTGTGTGTGATGCCTGTGTGTGGCGCCTGTGTGTGGCGCCTGTGTGTGGCGCCTGTGTGTGGTGCCTGTGTGTGATGCCTGTGTGTGGCGCCTGTGTGTGGCGCCTGTGTGTGATGCCTGTGTGTGGCGCCTGTGTGTGGCGCCTGTGTGTGGCGCCTGTGTGTGATGCCTGTGTGTGGCGCCTGTGTGTGATGTCTTTGTGTTTCGCCTGTGTGTGGCGCCTGTGTGTGATGTCGTTGTGTGTCGACTGTGTGTGGCGCCTGAGTGTGACGTCTGTGTGTGTCGCCTGTGCGTGGCGCCTGTGTGAGATGTCTTTGTGTTTCGCCTGTGTGAGGCGCCTGAGTGTGCCGCCTGTGTGTGACGCCTTTGTGTGGCGCCTGTCTGTGCCACCTGTGTGACGCCTGATTGTGCCGTCTTTGTGTGACGCCTGTGTGGCGCCTGTGTGTGACGCCTGTGTGTGCCGCCTTTGTGTGATGTCTGAGTGTGGCGCCTGTGTGTGGCGCCTGTGTGTGATGCATGTATGTGACGCCTGTGTGTGGCGCCTGTGTGTGATGCCTGGTAACGTCTGTGTGTGCCGCCTTTGTGTGGCGTCTGTGTTTGATGCCTGTGTGTGGCGCCTGTGTGTGATGCCTGTGTGTGGCGCCTGTGTGTGATGTCTTTGTGTGCCGCCTTTGTGAGCCGCCTGTGTGTGGCGTCTGTGTGTGATGCCTGTGTGTGGCGCCTGTGTGTGATGTCTGTGTGTGGCGACTGTGTGTGGCGCCTGAGTGTGGCGCCTGTGTGTGATGTCTGTGTGTGGCGACTGTGTGTGATGTCTGGGTGTGGCGACTGTGTGTGATGTCTGTGTGTGGCGACTGTGTGTGGCGCCTGAGTGTGGCGCCTGTGTGTGATGCATGTGTATGGCGCCTGTGTGTGATGCCTGTATGTGAATACCAACCTCATACATCATCACTGAAGACCTAACTTCTGAAGCGTGTGCTGTTCGATGTAATCCCGCGTCCTCAACTTCCTGAAAGAAAGTAACACTCAGTTTTAAAAATTATTCCTTAAGAAGTGTTCGATAGTGTCCTGGTATTTGTTTACTTTGCATGTATTCTTAGAGACTTGGGGGACATGTGTCTCTATGCGTCTGTATGTTTCTGTTTGTGATTATATGTGTCTACATTTGTCTGTATGTGTCTGTTTATGTCTGTATGTGTCTGTTTGTGTCTTTTTGTGTCTTTATGTGTCTGTTTGTGTCTATATGTGTATGCATGTGTCTATTTGTGTCTGTATGTGTCGTTTTGTGTCAGTATGTGTATGTATGTGTCTATATGTCTGTATGTGTCTGCGTGTGTCTGTTTATATCTGTATGTGTCTGTATATGTCTATATGTGTCTGTTTGTGTCTGTATGTGCCTGTATGTGTCTGTTTGTGTCTATATGTGCATGTATGTGTCTACATATGTCTGTATGTGTCTGCATGTGCCTGTTTATGTCTATATGTGTATGTTTGTGTCTGTATGTGTCTATATGTGTCTGTTTGCGTCTGTATGTGTCTATATGTGTCTGTATGTGTCTGTTTGTGTCTATATGTGTCTGTTTGCGTCTGTATGTGTCTATATGTGTCTGTATGTGTCTGTCTGTGTCTGTTTGTGTCTGTATGTGTCTGTATGTGTCTATATGTGTCAGTATATGTCTTTATGTGTCTGTATGTGTTTGTATGTGTCTACATGTGCCTGTATGTGTTTGTATGTGTCTGTTTGTGTCTGTATATGTATGTATGTGTCTATATGTATCTGTATGTGTCTGTTTGTGTCTTTATGTGTCTGTATGTGTCTGTATGTGTCTGTTTCTGTCTATATGTGTCTATATATGTCTGTATGTGTCTGTTTGTGTCTGTATGTGTCTATATATGTCTATATGTGTATGTTTGTGTCTGTATGTGTCTATATGTGTCTGTTTGCGTCTGTATGTGTCTATATGTGTCTGTATGTGTCTGTTTGTGTCTATATGTGTCTGTCTGTGTCTGTTTGTGTCTGTATGTGTCTGTATGTGTCTATATGTGTCAGTATATGTCTTTATGTGTCTGTATGTGTTTGTATGTGTCTACATGTGCCTGTATGTGTTTGTATGTGTCTGTTTGTGTCTTTATGTGTCTGTATATGTATGTATGTGTCTATATATGTCTGTATGTGTCTGTTTGTGTCTTTATGTGTCTGTATGTGTCTATATGTGTCTGTATGTGTCTGTTTCTGTCTATATGTGTCTATATATGTCTGTATGTGTCTATATGTCTGTATGTGTCTGTATGTGTCTATATGTGTTTGTATGTGTCTGTATGTGTCTGTATGTGTCTGTATGTGCCTGTATGTGTCTGTTTGCGTCTATATGTGTCTGCATGTGTCTGTATATGTCTGTATGTGTCTGAATGTGTCTGTTTGTGTCTGTATATTTCTACGAGGCTCCGGTTGGGTGCTAAGTATACAGTATGTCATTCGAAGTATACGAGGTTCGGTAGTTATAAGAACGAGACCATATGAGTGGGAACTGTCAAGTAGAGTGCAAGAGGAACCTTAAACGCTAGTTTATGGGGGCACTGCGTGGCGTCCTTGCCGCTGAGGAACTCAGGACCAGCGACGTCAATAGCAACCACACTGCTTCGGAACTCCCGACACAAACTAGCCACCTCCAGCGACCATTCTGAAAGTAACAAGTCAATCAGAACTATTCAAACAAGATTATTACATGACAGGCAGAAAACAATTTCATTTCAATATCACATGTCCAAATGAAAACTGTCACAAACAATAAACACTGCATATTTGATGACAGTATGTGGTAAACGTACCGCTAATGTCCCTTACTACCATTATTATGGCCTCTTTGTTTTGTGAGTGTGAAAAGGCAGTCGCCTCCCACTGATAGATGGGCGTGTCAGCACTGCAGTATTGAGTGAAGGCCACTCGACTTTGTCTGATGATTTGGTCAGTCTAAGACGTATAGAGATCTATGTACGTCTTTGGTTCAGTGCAATCATGTTCAAATACGCTAAATAACAGCACTGAAGATAATATACTGAATTTGACTTTCTCGTGTAGAAAGGCAAAAATCCACTTCGAGCATTGTTTCTCACTACCCTCCTGATCGTTGCTGATCACACCAAGCATTCACGTCCGGATGTTTCCTACACCAGTTTATCCAACGATATTGCCACCCCCTGCCTTGTCAGTGACATCCCTTACACTTGTATATCACCCCCTGCCTTGTCAGTGATAACCCTTACATTTGTATATCACCCCCTGCCTTGTCAGTGACAACCCTTACATTTGTATATAGCCCCTGCCTTGTCAGTGATAACCCTTACATTTGTATATCACCATTCTGCCTTGTCAGTGACAACCCTTACATTTGTATATCACCATTCTGCCTTGTCAGTGACAACCCTTACATTTGTATATCACCCCCTGCCTTGTCAGTGACAACCCTTACATTTGTATATCACCCCCTGCCTTGTCAGTGACAACCCTTACATTTGTATATAGCCCCTGCCTTGTCAGTGACAACCCTTACATTTGTATATCATCCCTGTCTTGTCAGTGACAACCCTTACATTTGTATATCACCCCCTGCCTTGTCAGTGATAACCCTTTCATTTGTATATCATCCCTGTCTTGTCAGTGACAACCCTTACATTTGTATATCACCCCCTGCCTTGTCAGTGATAACCCTTACATTTGTATATCATCCCTGCCTTGTCAGTGACAACCCTTACATTTGTATATCACCCCCTGCCTTGTCAGTGATAACCCTTTCATTTGTATATCATCCCTGTCTTGTCAGTGACAACCCTTACATTTGTATATAGCCCCTGCCTTGTCAGTGATAACCCTTACATTTGTATATCACCATTCTGCCTTGTCAGTGACAACCCTTACATTTGTATATCACCATTCTGCCTTGTCAGTGACAACCCTTACATTTGTATATCACCCCCTGCCTTGTCAGTGACAACCCTTACATTTGTATATAATCCCTGCCTTGTCAGTGACAACCCTTACATTTGTATATCACCCCCTGCCTTGTCAGTGATAACCCTTTCATTTGTATATCATCCCTGTCTTGTCAGTGACAACCCTTACATTTGTATATAGCCCCTGCCTTGTCAGTGATAACCCTTACATTTGTATATCATCCCTGTCTTGTCAGTGACAACCCTTACATTTGTATATCATCCCTGCCTTGTCAGTGACAACCCTTACATTTGTATATCATCCCTGTCTTGTCAGTGACAACCCTTACATTTGTATATCATCCCTGTCTTGTCAGTGACAACCCTTACATTTGTATATCATCCCTGTCTTGTCAGTGACAACCCTTACATTTGTATATCATCCCTGTCTTGTCAGTGACAACCCTTACATTTGTATATCATCCCTGCCTTGTCAGTGACAACCCTTACATTTGTATATCATCCCTGTCTTCTCAGTGACAACCCTTACATTTGTATATCATCCCTGTCTTGTCAGTGACAACCCTTACATTTGTATATAATCCCTGCCTTGTCAGTGATAACCCTTACATTTGTATATCACCATTCTGCCTTGTCAGTGACAACCCTTACATTTGTATATCACCCCTGCCTTGTCAGTGACATCCCTTACATTTGTATATCACCATTCTGCCTTGTCAGTGACAACCCTTATATTTGTATATCACCCCTGCCTTGTCCCTATTCTGCCTTGTCAGTGACAACCCTTACATTTGTATATCACCATTCTGCCTTGTCAGTGACAACCCTTACATTTGTATATCATCCCTGCCTTGTCAGTGATAACCCTTACATTTGTATATCACCATTCTGCCTTGTCAGTGACAACCCTTACATTTGTATATCATCCCTGCCATGTCCCTATTCTGCCTTGTCAGTGACAACTCTTACATTTGTATATCACCCCTGCCTTGTCCCTATTCTGCCTTGTCAGTGACAACCCTTACATTTGTATATCACCATTCTGCCTTGTCAATGACAACCCTTACATTTGTATATCACCATTCTGCCTTGTCAGTGACAACCCTTACATTTGTATATCATCCCTGCCTTGTCCCTATTCTGCCTTGTCAGTGGCAACCCTTACATTTGTATATCACCATTCTGCCTTGTCAGTGACAACCCTTACATTTGTATATCACCCCTTGCCTTGTCAGTGATAATCCTTACATTTGTATATAGCCCCTGCCTTGTCAGTGACAACCCTTACATTTGTATATCACCATTCTGCCTTGTCAGTGACAACCCTTACATTTGTATATCACCATTCTGCCTTGTCAGTGATAACCCTTTCATTTGTATATCACCCCCTGCCTTGTCAGTGATAACCCTTTCATTTGTATATCACCCCCTGCCTTGTCAGTGACAACCCTTACATTTGTATATCACCATTCTGCCTTGTCAGTGATAACCCTTTCATTTGTATATCACCCCCTGCCTTGTCAGTGACAACCCTTACATTTGTATATCACCATTCTGCCTTGTCAATGATAACGTCACAATAGTGTATCGCCCTTCTGCCTTGTCAGTGATTGAGTTTCTAGGTTTGTCAGAACTGTACCCATTCTTGTGTTAAAGGACCACGACATACATCTCTGAGGCGTTTCTCTCACCTCCAGCTGACACCCAGTGATATACTAGGAAGTGAACCGCTGTTCAGAGCGGCGACATACCAGACTTACTCATGCAGTTCTCACCTGGAAAGTTGCGTATACAGCAGAGGATTTCCTTCACCTGGATGTTGAAGTCACGTGTCCCTTGCTGCAGTGCTTCGCCGACCGTCGTCACGACGTCGCGCGGGGAAAAGTTGCCGGGCTCCGGGGCGTACACTGGCTTCTCAAACGTGTTAGCAAGCAGGTGTGGCGAGTACCTGGCTTCCACATACTTGATGCCTTGCAGGGAGCAGTCCTCACAGAACTCATAGGCCAGTCGATACACGGCATCCCGACTACCACTGCAACATAAATAAAGAGACTGTCCAGTCGGTCCACTGCATCCCGACTACCACTGCAACATAAATTAAGAGACTGTCCAGTCGGTCCACTGCATCTCGATTACCACTACAACATAAATTAAGAGACTGTCCAGTCGGTCCACTGCATCCCGACTAACCCTACATTATAAATTAAGAGACTGCCCAGTCGGTCCACTGCATCCCGACTACCACTGCAACATAAATAAAGAGACTGTCCAGTCGGTCCACTGCATCCCGACTAACCCTACATTATAAATTAAGAGACTGCCCAGTCGGTCCACTGCATCCCGACTACCACTGCAACATAAATAAAGAGACTGTCCAGTCGGTCCACTGCATCCAGGACTACCACTACAACATAAATTAAGAGACTGTCCAGTCGGTCCACTGCATCCCGACTACCACTACATTATAAATTAAGAGACTGCCCAGTCGGTCCACTGCATCCCGACTACCACTGCAACATAAATAAAGAGACTGTCCAGTCGGTCCACTGCATCCCGACTACCACTACAACATAAATTAAGAGACTGTCCAGTCGGTCCACTGCATCCCGACTACCACTACATCATAAATAAAGGGACTGTCCAGTCGGTCCACTGCATCCCGACTACCACTACATCATTAATAAAGAGACTGTCCAGTCGGGCCACTGCATCCTGACGACCACTACAACATAAATAAAGAGACAGTCCAGTCGGTCCACTGCATCCCGACTACCACTACATCATTAATAAAGAGACTGTCCAGTCGCTACACTGCATCCTGACTACCACTACAACATAAATTAAGAGACTGTCCAGTCGGTCCACTGCATCCTGACTACCACTACATCATAAATTAAGAGACTGTCCAGTCGGTTCACAACATCCTGACTACCACTACAACATAAATAAAGAGACTGTCCAGTCGGTCCACTGCATCCCGACTACCACTACAACATAAATTAAGAAACTGTTCAGTCGGTTCACAACATCCTGACTACCACTACAACATAAATAAAGAGACTGTCCAGTCGGTCCACTGCATCCCGACTACCAATACATCATAAATTAAGAGACTGCCCAGTCGGTCCACTGCATCCCGACTACCACTACAACATAAATTAAGAAACTGTTAAGTCGGTTCACAACATCCTGACTACCACTACAACATAAATAAAGAGACTGTCCAGTCGGTCCACTGCATCCCGACTACCACTAAATCATAAATAAAGAGACTGTCCAGTCGGTCCACTGCATCCCGACTACCACTAAATCATAAATAAAGAGACTGTCCAGTCGGTCCACTGCATCCTGACTACCACTAAATCATAAATAAAGAGACTGTCCAGTCGGTCCACTGCATCCCGACTACCACTACAACATAAATTAAGAGACTGCCCAGTCGGTCCACTGCATCCCGACTACCACTACAACATAAATAAAGAGATTGTCCAGTCGGTCCACTGCATCCCGACTACCACTACAACACAAATTAAGAGACAGTCCAGTCGGTCCACTGCATCCCGACTACCACTACAACATAAATAAAGAGAATGTCCAGTCGGTCCACTGCATCCCGACTACCACTAAATCATAAATAAAGAGACAGTCAAGTCGGTCCACTGCATCCCGACTACCACTACATTATAAATAAAGAGACTGTCCAGTCGGTCCACTGCATCCCGACTACCACTACAACATAAATTAAGAGACTGCCCAGTCGGTCCACTGCATCCCGACTACCACTACAACATAAATAAAGAGATTGTCCAGTCGGTCCACTGCATCCCGACTACCACTACAACACAAATTAAGAGACAGTCAAGTCGGTCCACTGCATCCCCACTACCACTACAACATAAATAAAGAGACAGTCCAGTCGGTCCACTGCATCCCGACTACCACTACAACATAAATAAAGAGACTGTCCAGTCGGTCCACTGCATCCCGACTACCACTACAACATAAATTAAGAGACAGTCAAGTCGGTCAACTGCATCCCGACTACCACTACATCATAAACAAAGGGACTGTCCAGTCGGTTCACTGCATCCCGACTACCACTACAACATAAATTAAGAGACAGTCAAGTCGGTCCACTGCATCCCGACTACCACTACATCATAAATAAAGAGACTGTCCAGTCGGTCCACTACATCTCGATTACCAATACAACATAAATAAAGAGACTGTCCAGTCGGTCCACTGCATCTCAATTACCACTACAACATAAATAAAGAGAAAGTCCAGTCGGTTCACTACATCATGATTACCAGTACAACATAAATAAAGAGACTGTCCAGTCGGTCCACTGCATCCCCACTACCACTACAACATAAATTAAGAGACAGTCCAGTCGGTCCACTGCATCCTGACTACCACTTCAACATAAATAAAGAGACTGTCCAGTTGGTTCACTGCATCGCAATTACCACTACATCATAAATAAAGAGACTGTCCAGTCGGTCCACTACATCCTGACTACCACTGCAACATAAATAAAGAGACTGCCCAGTCGGTCCACTACATCTCGATTACCAATACAACATCAATAAAGAGACTGTCCAGTCGATCCACTACATCTCGATTACCACTACAACATAAATAAAGAGACTTTTCAGTCGGTCCACTACATCTCGATTACCATTGCAACATAAATAAAGAGACTGTTGAGTAGGTCCACTGCATCCTGACTACCACTACAGCATAAACAAAAAAGAGACAGTCCAGTTGGTCCACTGCATCTCGATTACCACTACAGCATAAATAAAGAGACTGTCCAGTCGGTTCACTGCATCACGATTACCAGTACAACATAAATAAAGAGACTGTCCAGTCGGTCCACTGCATCGCGATTACCTCTGCAACATAAATAAAGAGAGAGTCCAGTTGGTTGACTGCATTGCGATTACCACTACATCATAAATAAAGAGACTGTCCAGTCGGTCCACTATATCTCGATTACCACTACAGCATAAATAAAGAGACAGTCCAGTCGGTTCACTGCATCGCGATTACCACTTCAACATAAATAAAGAGACTGTCCAGTTGGTTCACTGCATCGCAATTACCACTGCATCATAAATAAAGAGACTCTCCAGTCGGTCCACTACATCCCGACTACCACTGCAACATAAATAAAGAGACTGTCCAGTCGGTTCACTACATCTCAATTACCACTACATCATAAATAAAGAGACTGTCCAGTCGGCCCACTACATCCCGAATACCACTGCAACATAAATAAGGAGACTGTCGAGTCGGTCCACTGCATCCCGACTACCACTGCAACATAAATAAAGAGAGAGTCCTGTCTGTCCACTACATCTCGATTACAACTACAGCATCAATAAAGAGACTGTCCAGTCGGTTCACTGCATCTCGATTACAACTACAGCATCAATAAAGAGACAGTCCAGTTGGTTCACTGCATCTCAATTACCACTACAGCATTAATAAAGAGACAGTCCAGTCGGTTCACTGCATCGTGATTACCACTTCAACATAACTAAAGAGACAGTCCAGTCGGTCCACTGCATCTCGATTACCACTGCAACATAAATAAAGAGACTGTCCAGTCGGTCCACTACATCCCGACTACCACTGCAACATAAATAAAGAGACTGTCGAGTCGGACCACTCCATCCCGACTACCACTGCAACATAAATAAAGAGTCTGTCCAGTCGGTCCACTGCATCCCGACTACCACTGCATCATAAATAAAGAGACTGTCCAGTCGGTCCACTGCATCCCGACTACCACTGCAACATAAATAAATTAACTGTCCAGTCGGTTCACTGCATCCTGACTACCACTACAACATCAATAAAGAGACTGTCCAGTCGGTTCACTGCATCCTGATTACCACTACAACATAAATAAAGAGACTGTCTAGTCGGTTCACTACATCTCAAATACGGCTACAACATAAATAAAGAGACTGTCCAGTCGGTCCACTACATCTCGATTACCACTACATCATAAATATAGAGACAGTCCAGTTGGTCCACTGCATCTCGATTACCACTACATCATAAATAAAGAGACCGTCCAGTCGGTCCACTGCATCTCGACTACCACTGCAACATAAATTAAGAGACTGTCCAGTCGGTCCACTGCATCTCGATTACCACTACAACATAAATTAAGAGACTGTCCAGTCGGTCCACTGCATCCCGACTAACCCTACATTATAAATTAAGAGACTGCCCAGTCGGTTCACTGCATCCTGACTACCACTACAACATCAATAAAGAGACTGTCCAGTCGGTTCACTGCATCCTGATTACCACTACAACATAAATAAAGAGACTGTCTAGTCGGTTCACTACATCTCAAATACGGCTACAACATAAATAAAGAGACTGTCCAGTCGGTCCACTACATCTCGATTACCACTACATCATAAATATAGAGACAGTCCAGTTGGTCCACTGCATCTCGATTACCACTACATCATAAATAAAGAGACCGTCCAGTTGGTCCACTGCATCTCGATTACCACTACATCATAAATAAAGAGACTGTCCAGTCGGTCCACTGCATCTCGATTACCACTACAACATAAATATAGAGACAGTCAAGTCGGTTCACTGCATCGCGATTACCACTACAGCATAAATAAAGAGTCTGTCCAGTCGGTCCACTACATCTCGATTACCACTGCAAGATAAATAAAGAGACTGTTCAGTCGTTCCACTGCATCTCGATTACCACTACAACATAAATAAAGAGACTGTCCAGTCGGTCCACTGCATCTCGATTTCCACTGCAAGATAAATAAAGAGGCTGTTCAGTCGGTCCACTACATCTCGATTACCTCTACAACATAAATAAAGAGACTGTCAAGTCGGTCCAGTACATCTCGATTACCACTACATCATAAATAAAGAGACTGTCCAGACGGTCCACTACATCTCGATTATCACTACAACATAAATATAGAGACAGTCAAGTTGGTACACTGCATCCTGATTACCACTACAACATAAATA